TGTCTATTCAATTAATGTCATCTTTTGACTTTGCTGATCTCCATTTTGTTTAAAGAATGATTTTATTTAACTTTATTTATTATTATTTTCCAGTTTGATCAGAGACACAGAGAAAGGGAGAGGGAAAGTGAGAAAGCAAGCTAGCAGGTCCAGGTAGCTGGGCCAGGTGAGAATCTAGCGCCCTTACCCACCACGCCACCTGCCAGCCCATGATCTCCAGTTTTAGTTAAGTATTTCATTAATGCTTTATTGCTGTCTTTGATATATCCCCCCTATAAGCCCTTTACATTTATTGAACTGATCTTTCATGTTTAATAAGTTACCAGCCACACTGAGTCTGTGCCTACTTTGTTTCCAACATAGGCATCTAAGAATATAAACTTATTATAAGCTTCATTTTACATGATTTCTGTGAACATTAAAATTGAGTTGCTGGAAAAGTCATGACACATTTTTTTACATAGAAAAACAGAAAAAAATACATCATGACTTTTCCCAGTATATTGTATTTTAGTTATTAATGATTTGCAGAGTTTTTCTTTCTCTTTTAAAATAATATTCTTTCATTTCCCAGGGCACATGCATTCACCACAGAGACAGACAGAAAGCATTCCCCAGTGGGTGTGGTCACAATGCAGTCCTTTATCTTCCATTTCTCCATCCTGTCAGGATTTAGGGCACACACACACACACACACACAAATGCCTAAAATGTTTTCCAAATCAATGGGGCCAGGATTTCAACTGTAACCACCCATGTGGGACCTGGCTCCCAAGCAGAGCATCTAACCATTGCACTATGGGACTAACTTCTCTTTCTCCATTATAATTTTGCCCTTCCTTCTTCCCTTTTGTTTTTAAACTGGTGAACAATAATTATATATATTTCCAGTGTGATATTTTGATCTATATATACACTGTAGAAAAGTTCACATTTTTTTGGGGGGGAGAGGTTTTTGTTATAGGGCGTGTGAACTCACCAGAAAGACAGAGAGACAGAAAGCAAGAAATCATCCCCTGGGGGGATGGACCCGCCACAATCCCTTCTTCTCCATTCTCCTCTCGGTATCCTGGGCATGCACGCACACACGACTGGTGTGAGTTTAAGCCACTGGGTCCAGGACTCAAACTGTGGCCAACTACATGGGAGTCCACCGACATAGCCATTATGCCAACTGCTGGTCTCTATTTTACATATTAAATACCTCATCACCTGATTTATTTGTAGTAAGAGCATTAAAAATCTATTCTTCTAGCGATTTTGAAATATACATTAACAACTCTGGTTGCCACAGAGGGCAATAGATAACTAAAACATATTCCTCCAGTCTAACCAGAACTTTGCACCCTTTGATCAATCTCCTTTCTTTCACGCCACCCCTAGAACTTTGCACCCTTTGATCAATCTCCTTTCCTTCACGCCACCCCCCCCCAGGTCCAGTCTCTAGAAATCTCTGCTTTCACAAGGTCGACATTTTTAGACCCCACATTGTGACAGCTAACTTTAGATGTCAACTTGACGGGATTAAGGAATACCTAGAGATCTGGCAGAGCATTATTTCTGGGTGCATCCCTGAGGATGTTTCCGAAGAGACGGGCAGGCGGAAGATCTGGCTAGCACCATTTAATTGGCTGAGGGTCTAGACAGAACGAAAAGGCAAAAAACGAAAACAAAAGGCGAATTATCTGACTGCCATCAGGCTGAGACACCCTTCCCCTCCTACCTTCAGACGGCGGAACTCCAGGCTCTCTGGACTCCAGGACTTAGACCAGCGGCACCACCCTCAAAGGTTCTCAGGCCTTTGGCCTCAGAGTGAGTTACACCACCAGCTTCGTTAGTTCTGAGGTCTCAGACTCGGGCTAAGCCACACTACTGGCATCATGAAATCTCCAGAATGCGGACGAACTGGACAGAACCTGTTTCCCATGAAGACTTTGTAGAATGAAGCCATATAGCAGCTGTGGTCTGGCTTAACTCCTGTGAAGTCTCCTCTGAGGTCCTCAGCCAGGACAACCAGTTCCTCCAGTGCTTACTGCACTCGGCGTGGACCTCACCTCTACTACGCACCCCATTGAATCAGAGTCCTTTCTTACGCACAGGGACAGCAAATCGGAGCCCACGTAACAGACTGACAGATATATTGGAAAGGAAGCAGCAAGGAATGGGACGACCGCACAAGAAAATAGAAATGTAGAGCCTTTATTGGGAGTGCTCCTGGGTGAGGTTCACTGGTCCACAGAAAAGGAGAGAGAGGGAGGGAGACAGGCCAAAGAAGGAGCGCTAGGCCGGGGTTTAGCGATTTTTATAAGGGAATAGGGAGGGGAGTGTCTTAGAGGTAGGAACAGTCCATGTATGGTAAAGGTTCAGGGGGAGAGCAGACTGCTGTGTCACATACGGTCTGGTGGCGTGTGCAGAGTAGAGTGCATGTACTACCTCCAGGTAAGATCCTCGTGCAGTGCAGGTCTGACGACAGGCTCAACCCAGGTTGCATCAGCTGACTGCATCAGCATTCAACCCCCATATCCAAGCTGCCCAGGCCTCCGGCCTAATAGAAGCTGAGCCTCAATTTTTGGTGAGCGGAAAGTTTGTACTGATTTGTGTCAACTGCCATGGACATGGGGAGGAGACGAGTAATTTTTTTAAGGTTTATATTTCTTCCATGAGAGAAAAATGGGAAATGAGAGAGAGAGAGAGAGACCTCCAACAGGCTTTCCATGCAACAATCCACATCTCAGCTGACCCGGATATCAGGCATGTTACTTCTGCACTTGAGATTTCGGAAACGGCTTCTCATTTCAGACAAGGCAAAGTGCACTAACTGAAATTACAGCCAAGTATCCCAGTGACTTACTTTGGGCTTTCATTCTGATTTCTTCATCCAACTCCTTGCTCTATTCCTTTCAAGCCTCACATCATGCTTCATTTCCTGCAGACTTTCCAGGCCCGGATTCGGAGTCTTAACTAAGTGCTCCAGCTCTATCTCAGGGACTTGATGTGACTTGCCACTACCCCATCAGCACGCCACGCAGTCTCCACGCTGTGACTGGACTGTGAGCCATTAGGGGACAGGACTGTCTTAAACTCGTAACATGCAGCGTGGTGTCAGGTAAGTTGCAGGTGCTCAAGAATGAATGAAGCAAACAAAATAAGAACTTTGTTTCCTCCTAACATCCACCCTGCTGAATGACATGCACCCTACAATTCAGGATGGTTAGTGGGGTGTCTGTACATACCATACACTCAAAGAAAAAGTTACTGTAAGTTATTTTAAATGTTAAGACGACCCGAGATGGGAAATGTTGACTTTGGACATTTTCATTAAAAACAAACATGAGAAGACCAAGCAGGTGGCGTGATGGTTAAGGCGCTGGACACTCCCATATGGCCTAGTAAGGTTCGAGTCCCAGACCTGGAGTCTTGCTTTCTCACGGTCTCTTTCTGTGTGTGTCTCGCTCCCTCTGGTCAAATTAAAAATAATGAATAAATAAAATTAATAACGCTTTTAAAAAGCAGATTCAAACCATTAAGACAAAAAAATGAACCCTAACTGCAAGCGCTCCGCGGAATTGGCGTGGGACCCGCTGAGTTACTCTGGGGCACACTACACCTAACACCGGCCGCCCTCACGGGTCCTCAGCCCAGCGCTCGGCGGGCGGCCCCCGCCTTCGTCATCCAGCCTTAGGCCACATCCATCTCGTCGTACCAGAGGGTTCTAGAAACTCTTCTCCACTAAACCGAGGAGTCAAGACACTGTTCTCCGGGAAATGGCAGCCCTGCTTCAGCCCACACGCAGGCGATCAGGTTTAACGGATTCCAGTCCAGAGGCACCGAAGGGGCTGGGACGTCCTACGGCGCTTCTCCCGCGGCGCCCTCTGCCCCGCAGCTGCCCTACAGCCCCGGGAAAGAGAAGGCCACGACGCGCCGGTGGCCGGGAATGACCGCTCAGGCCCGCTCTGCCCGGCCGGGACGGCGAGGCCCCGCCCACGCCGAGGGCGCCAGCGCGCAGGCGCCCCGAGACCCCGCCCCCGAGGCGCGGCCCCATTGGCCCAGAGGCCCAGGCGGAGCGCCGTGGGCTGTCACACG